TGTGTCAATAGGCCTCAAGTCTTGTCGGTATCTTTAGAAATCATGTCCTCAATTTTATGGTCCTTGGGGCGTAATTAAATTAAGCTAATTACGGTCACTAATTGCTAGTTTTTATGATTGCATCTGAAATTGTTAGGCGAAAGTAGCATGCATGCCAAATTTCAGGTCTCTAGAGCAATCAGAAGTGGGCTAATTTTCGATGTCAATTTTAACAACAAACATTCAAACAACCAAACAACCAAACAAACAAACGCGAAGCTGAGTTAAGAATAAAATACTTTTAAAAAACTTTTTAAAAAACCACGTTTTTCTTGTGGACTAAAAAGTAGAAAATAAATTTTCATACATTTGATGACAAAAAACGTGGGTACGTTCACCATCAAATTTCCCGACCCATCTGCCCGACCCACGTTTTTTGTCATCAAATGTATGAAAATTTATTTTCTACTTTTTAGTCCACAAAAAAACGTGGTTTTTTAAAAAGTTTTTTTTAAGTATTTTATTTTCTCCTTTTTAGTCCGTTGCTACACATGAAAAACGTGGTTTTTAAAAAAGTGTTTATAAATACAGGGACTAAAAATCTTGAGCGACCAGGATTCGAACCTGGGTTGTCGCGGCCACAACGCGAAGTACTAACCACTATACGATCACGGCCAGCGCGCTCACATCGATTGGGGCCGAAGTAACTGTGTCAATAGGCCTCAAGTCTTGTCGGTATCTTTAGAAATCATGTCCTCAATTTTATGGTCCTTGGGGCGTAATTAAATTAAGCTAATTACGGTCACTAATTGCTAGTTTTTATGATTGCATCTGAAATTGTTAGGCGAAAGTAGCATGCATGCCAAATTTCAGGTCTCTAGAGCAATCAGAAGTGGGCTAATTTTCGATGTCAATTTTAACAACAAACATCCAAACAACCAAACAACCAAACAAACAAACGCGAAGCTGAGTTAAGAAAAACGTGTTAAAAACGTGTTAAAAACAGAGTGGTCAGTAGATGTTAATTAATGCAACATATGTTGCTGCATTTCGATATACGCAACAGCTGCATTCGGAGACCAGTGTATGTGTGTCTACTACTGGTGATACTTCAAACAAGTGTGCCGAGCAATGTTTCATGTTTAAACATTTTCTAACAGATATCTTTTGAAACATTTTGTGTGGAATTAGTCATAGGCAATGGGTCTTACAGTGACAAATAATGGAAAATTAACGATACTTGCCTACTAGAGAAACAGATAACTTACATTTAATTGGAATACAGGCCACAACAATCACGCAGATGTAAGTTAGAAATCGCATCATGACGTCATTGATCTCTGTCTACAAATGACGTCTGCTGTGCTGTACTAGAGATGACTGTTTTCAAGCCGTGAATGGGGGAACAGTTTAAATACCCAGCACCGTACATCTGTATTTTCTTTTAGGTTGGCTGGGTAGGGGGGGGGGGGTTGGGGGGGGGGTGGATGAGGTGATAAACACACAAAAAAATATTCTTTCAAGAAATTACGATGAAAAATGGAGCAAGGTCAAGGAGGCTTGAGTATAAAAATAGACATTGGGTAGGGGGTGTAGTTTTTTAAGCCGCTGTCATTTCAACATACAGTTGATAAACTTCTGTTAAAATGAGAAAAATATATTTAACCATGTTTACATTTAAAGACTGGGTTGCTCGAAAGTGGGTCTTACAAAAATTCCACTAAATATCACCGAAAGAATTTAATAATAAGCTTTTAATAATTAATAAAGCCCTAAAATGTAGAAAATAAATGTTTTCGTTAAACATATAATAGTAGGCCTATAATTCAATTTAAACAACTATAAAGAAAAGCGTGTTTATTCGATCTATATGCAGTGCTTTATATTGTAAAAAAAAAAATAGGTAACGGTATGGACTGCCTAACTTTTAACAATAATAAACGTTAAAATACAAGAAAAGTAATAATTTTTTCCCACATTGAAAAAGGTGCCGGTACGCCTTCCCCTTGCGTAGCGTCACCAAAAAAAACCCTGATTATATGTGTATTGTTATATATACTGTATCATAGCCTATTTAAAGAAAATCAAATTCTACTTTTTAGTTCATTATTACATAAAAGCTTGTTATTAAATTTTTTACTGCTCTAAAGAATTAAAAAGAGCCTTGACCTCTTTGCTTAGGTCTGAAAAATATTTTTAAAACCCATGCGGTTATCGCAAGGATGCCAGATGAAAAAACTTTTGCATGAAGAAATAAAGGTCAAGGCCAGATGTGACGTCCAGACCTGGGGTCACTGTAGCTGCACTCACAGCGGCTTCTATTTTTAGCATCATCTCAAGGTCATTTTATTTTGTTTTAAAAATATTTTTGTTTTCTTTTTTTTTCCGTGGGAGCGATGACATACAAAGACACAAAGTTTATTACTTGTGCACGGTTTCTGGTTAGTTTCACCTGCAAGCTTTGAAATAGCACGAGCTGGTATTTGGTTATGTAGATCAACTAGCCTTTGATGTTCTTAACTAAGCAACATTTTCACCTCTCTTACTATACGTATATAATAAGCATCAGAAAATCGCTTATAATGACGGCACCAGAGTTATCTCCTCACCAGAGGCGTCGCAGAGGAGGAGGAGGGGGAGGCTGTGTACCGCACCGTGTGACACCATTTAGAGGGTGACACCAAGGCAAAAGTAGCAAAATGTTTAGAGAAAAACAATTATCGTTCCATTTAAATGAATGATTAATTTGAGTTAAATAGTCTTCTTAGACTAAGAGATGGGTGGGGGGGGGGGGGGGGGGGGGTGAAACCATGACGTTAACCAGTTAACGCTAGAGAAAACACTACCACGTCCAGCCGTATTAATAACCTACTATAGATAAACATCGTTAGTATTATCTGAGTACAGTTTAAAGCTATCACGGGAGGGGGGGGGGGGGTCGGGATGACACCAACTAAAAGTTGTAACATTAAAATCTTTTGTTGAAGATTTTAATAACTGATATGTCAATCGACGCTAGGATAGCTGTGGTATTAAAATCAATAAATTTTATTACATAATTTATTATTTTTCCACTTGAATTAATAACCGTTTGAATTAGGCCCATCAATGCTGTTCTAGGTGAATTAATATAAGTTGACGCCACTCGACAAAAAGGTTAGGGGCAGGGCGTGACACCAAATACACCGTCCACCGAAGTGGATTGGGGTGAAATCACATTGGAAATTTACAAATCTACATATCGATAGGTAATAAAAGTGAGCATCAGATATATAATAAGACACTGCGATGCAAGTAAAAAGCACGACATGTGATGAGTTTACTATTCTGGTTCCAAAATCTATAGCGATGACGGACTGACACACTACCACCAGCGTTATCTACACACTACCACCAGCGTTATATATATATATATATATATATATATATATATATATATATATATATAAAATTATTTCGGGTGAGGGGGTGACACCATCAGTTTCCGCACTGGTGCCACCCGACTTAGCGACGCCACTGCTCTTTGCAAAATTTCAAATTTATATGTGTCGCATCAGCAAGTGGTCGATCTACTTTAAGTACTTAAAAAATGTATAGTTTATATAAGGCAGCGGTAAGTCTAGGTCAGTTTTCGGCCCCTTTAGACTCGATTATTGAGATTGCTATAACTTGCCCGTTAGCTTGATGTTTCCTATCGCTTTTTTGCAAGAACATTACCTTTGAAACTTTCTTTCAAATACCCGATCGCATTGGTGTTATGAACTGCGTGAAAGTGTAACAACCCCCACTTTGCTTTTATAGATAAAGAATAAGGGATCGTGCACATATAATTGTTTCGTACAACATTGGACATTTCTGAAACAACTGCATTGCGCTACTGGCAGCTCCAGTTGGTATATGCCGCCTCGTACATATAATTTCCAAACTTTCCTTTCCTTGTTTTACTGATTTCAATATAGCTTTAAGCAAACTTTTCCCGCCACAAATACATTCAAACCGTGGCATATTTTTTTAACTACAGTCAAACGTTTCTCCCACGTTTAACAAGCAGACAAAAGTCTGCTATTGTATGTCTGATTAACGTCTGATAAGATCGCCCCAAGCCTTGTATCGTACTGGTCATTCTCTCGTTACAGCTGTCACAACAAGCACCTCATTCGACAGATTAACGTAAGATATTGTGTGTCCGTCCGGCATTGATTGCGGTCAGTTTAAGGAGTTTTCCAGATTTTCCGAAAGTTCATATGGAAGAAACACTAGTTGGTGTAAGTTGATTTTATCTTTATTATTTATCTTATTTAGCATTTTAATAACTGGCTAGTCCTACATTTTTAAAAACTAAATTTTAAAAAGCTACATTTTTTTTTCTTTTGACAAAGATCTTTTCCAACTGGACAAGTATCACATTGGACCCCAAAATTCTGATTGGTTATTATATAACCAGAATCGACATAATTTTTGTTATCTATTAGTTACACATTTGCCTGTTTGGTCGTCAGTTTATCTGCATATCTAATTGTCTACTGTAAATAAAGCACGGGTCATTATATTATCTATTGAATACTTTTACTGAAACTTTAAAAAAGCGACCCACGCTTTTCTTTACAGTTATGTAAGTAGTAGTGTATTTGCAGAAAATCATTTTATTTCTCTTTTTCATTTAATTATTACATAAAAGCTTATTATTAAAACTTTTTTATGAATTTTATTTTTATATTTCGATAACTTAGTTTTAGAAAAAAAAGTTCACACCTCTAAAAATATGCAATTGGAAACATTTTCTTGAAGTGTTCTTAAAATGTTGCGTCAGTGTTGCATTTCCTTGCTCCTGAGATCGTAGGATAGCACGAAGCATGTGCTAGTCTCAATAGTTAAAACGCAAATTTATCGAATTAGTACAAAAGTGATATAAAAATTATATGAGCCCCGAATTCTATGCACATTGTGAGAGTGTGATCAAATAACACTAACTTGCTTTGGTTTCAATATTTTATTGGCGTGTGTGTCAAGTTTCAGAAGTAAAGACCAACGCAGATGAGAAATTCAAATTCGCAGGTGTTTATTGCTGTAACACATATCATTGTTACCAGCCAAGGGGGATAAATAATAAGTTATAATTTATTGGGTTGCGGCCCATGTGGGACCGCAACTGTTGATGTAGTTTTTATTTGTTAAATTTTCAGTGCCGTCTCCTGAATTTGAACTCAATCCTGCTGAGTTGCACATGTTCATGGAGTATGTACCACGTGATTGTGTTCCAAGGACCGTTAGGGTTGATGCCATGACAATATTCGTTCCACCAGCCACCCTTATGTCGTGTAGCACAACGAGAGACACCATCCCTATCGTAAGTATAAAATTCCCTCTCTCTGTAGTAATCAAAGTAGTCATCGAATGAGAACTCAGTCGGCCCGCCAACCCGTAGCTTGTACCACAAGTTCTCGCCCTCTACTTTAAAACCGTCGTACACAGCAACGTAGTCATCGTGATTGAATTTCATCTCTACCCTCAGCTCAAAGTGGCCCTGCAATAAAAGAATAAACACGAATACTGTCGACACATTGGTGTATATAGGTTTGTTTATTGTGTGTGATTTGTCATGTGTGACTTGCATGTGTTGTGTTTGTTACGCTTCCCCAATAATTAGAAAAATAAATGGATTAAATTAACAGATAAAGCAAAAACTACCCAAAAACAAACTAAACGCTCTGCTTGGCTGCCTGACAGTTAGGATTAAACAAAAGTTCGATAACAAAATAGTAAGAAGGCAAGACCCCAGAGTTAAATGTTAGAGAATAAAAAGAAGCTTGAAGATGTTTTCAACATCACAAAAAAAAACATATGTAAACACACGCACATGAAGATAACTTCGCATCCGCTCCCCTAACACCATTACCTATTAGGAATTGTGGGAGACAAAGAAAATGGCGATGGATGTGCCATACACTTTTAAGTCGACGAATACCATAGTTAGACATGTCATCCCAGAGCAACTTGTAGAGTGAGACATGAATAGCATTACCACAGGGTACAGTACAGAGCAACTTGTAGAGTGAGACATGAATAGCATTACCTCAGGGTACAGTACGGAGCAACTTGTAGAGTGAGACATGAATAGCATTACCTCAGGATACAGTACGGAGCAACTTGTAGAGTGAGACATGAATAGCGTTACCTCAGGATACAGTACGGAGCAACTTGTAGAGTGAGACATGAATAGCATTACCTCAGGATACAGTACGGAGCAACTTGTAGAGTGAGACATGAATAGCGTTACCTCAGGATACAGTACAAAGCAACTTGTAGAGTGAGACATGAATAGCATTACCACAGGATACAGTACAGAGCAACTTGTAGAGTGAGACATGAATAGCATTACCTCAGGATACAGTACGGAGCAACTTGTAGAGTGAGACATGAATAGCATTACCACAGGATACAGTAGAAGAAACAAGCTCAAGAGCCAGTTACTTGACCTGCGACCAAAGACCTAGTGAGACAACAAGCTAGCTATCTGTGCTAAGTTCGATAACTCACCTCAGAGGTCAAGCTAGAGACGAGTTCATTACCCAGCCAGAAATCTCCGTTGTAGGATCCGAACCCGTGCTTGTAGTCGTGCCAGCCTCGGTTGAAATCAACGTCACCAATTATACGACGCTGTAAAACATTAGTCTAAGAGGAAGATACTCGACAGCCAAAGTATGATTTGGTTGAATGATACTTGAGAGGTTAGGATAAGGTTAAGTCATCAGACAGACAGAAAATAGTAAGGGGTTACGGTGAAGGGGTATTAGACATAATCTCTTCACCTTTATATGTAGACAACGGTTAGGAATAAGGACAGAATAGTAATTAGTCTAGTTGTTTTTATCAGTAACGTGGTTGTGCTTATTTTATAAAGAAATTATTTGGCATCTACAAGGGAAAGGAGAATCAAGCGTGATTGTACTCAATGTTCTACCTAGCAGTACATCACGCTTGACATCAGTGCAAGTCGCGCAACAGTTCACGAAATATCTGTTGACATACAACTAGTGTCCATTAAACCACGAGTAAACCACGAGTGATCAGATGTTTGAATCCGATGACTGGACCTGCCTCCCCCTACCTGCATCACGATCCAGCCCCCACCATCTGTTTTGGTGTCACACAAGACGACCTTGCCGTTCCCCAATTGGACCAAGATCATCTTTGGGTATTCAAAATTCATGTTTCGCTCACACTTGATCTTCAAGAAATATTGGATGATAAATTGGTTAAAGCAATACACAAACCAACAATGTCTGTTTTTTTCATTTAAAATTGTACCAAAAAATAAGTGTTAAAAACTGTCAAGCCGGTAGAACATAGCCCACATTCTCATACCCTATTTATGTATTATGGCTTGTAGCCCATGCTCCACCCACTTGTATGGCTTGTAGCCCATGCTCCACCCACCTGTATGACTTGTAGCCCATGCTCCACTCACCTGCTTGGGCTGTGAAACAAATTCAGCCAATGAAAATGGCCACTCGATAAAACGACCCAATTCATTTACATCCGATGTAAAAACTTTGTTTTTTGAAATGCCCAGTTTTTTATCCAAAATCTGAAGCATATTTTGAACTTCTACAAGTCTCCTATTTTGCTCCTCAATGGTTTTTAACTCAATTTGAGGTGTCTGATTAAATGTGTCTGTTTTCTTCTTGTCTTCCTCATCGTCTGGTAAAGATGTGTTCCTCTTTACTGAGGGATCAATGCGAAGCTGTTCTGATGATCTACGCCTGCGTTGATCTATTGCCCGGGTTAACGACCTTGATTCCTGTGATGTTGTTGTTATAGTTTGTGTGTCAGTAACGCCGTCTTTATTATTGGCACTAATCTTTCTCGTTGAAGGGGGGACAACTTTTTCCCTGACACCAATCTGTCCCTTGTCGTCAGCAAACATCACCTGACAAACAAACGCCGTGTCCTGACAATATGACGTCACTGACATCAACACCTCCATGTCTGCCGATGATTTGCCAATTGACCCATTGACCTTGACCCCGGTGTGACCCTGATGACGTAGTTGATCTTCCACCTCTGTGAGTGAAGCCAGCAGCATCCTATCACGTGACTCTCTGTAGATCGACATGTTGACCAGTGAATACGTCACAGGGTCACTGGCCAGGTTTTCTTGACAAGACAACATGGCACAGAAGGCGCCAGGAACTCTGGGAGAAGTTCTGTCAATATGGAACTCGAGACCTAGATTTAGAGTTGATTTTAGAATCGTGTTGAAATGGTATGAGTGGAACGCTTGGAAATGTTGAACTAAGTTGAAGCACAGTGTCGATTTAGAACTTGAGTATTATACACGTAATTACATAATGATTGTATTTATTGCATTTCACGCAGTTCAAACTTGTTTAAGATAGATTACTTACTCGCTTTAAAAACCTCGAGCTCATGTAGTAGATTGGTGTTACGTGACACAGGGTTGCTAGCCTTATAATCAACCCTGAGGTTGCTAGTTTTACAATCAACCCTAAGGTTGCTAGCTTTACAATCAACCCTGAGGTTGCTAGCTTTACAATCAACCCTGAGGTTGCTAGCCTTACGCTCAACCCTGAGGTTGCTAGTTTTACAATCAACCCTGAGGTTGCTAGCTGTACAATCAACCCTGAGGTTGCTAGCTTTACAATCAACCCTGAAGTTGCTAGCTTTACAATCAACCCTAAGGTTGCTAGCCATACGCTCAACCCTGAGGTTGCTAGCTTTACAATCAACCCTGAGGTTGCTAGCCTTACGCTCAACCCTGAGGTTGCTAGTTTTACAATCAACCCTGAGGTTGCTAGCTGTACAATCAACCCTGAGGTTGCTAGCTTTACAATCAACCCTGAAGTTGCTAGCTTTACAATCAACCCTGAGGTTGCTAGCTGTACAATCAACCCTGAGGTTGCTAGCCATACGCTCAACCCTGAGGTTGCTAGCTTTACAATCAACCCTGAGGTTGCTAGCCTTACGCTCAACCCTGAGGTTGCTAGTTTTACAATCAACCCTGAGGTTGCTAGCTGTACAATCAACCCTGAGGTTGCTAGCTTTACAATCAACCCTGAAGTTGCTAGCTTTACAATCAACCCTGAGGTTGCTAGCTGTACAATCAACCCTGAGGTTGCTAGCCATACGCTCAACCCTGAGGTTGCTAGCTTTACAATCAACCCTGAGGTTGCTAGCCTTACGCTCAACCCTGAGGTTGCTAGTTTTACAATCAACCCTGAGGTTGCTAGCTGTACAATCAACCCTGAGGTTGCTAGCTTTACAATCAACCCTGAAGTTGCTAGCTTTACAATCAACCCTGAGGTTGCTAGCTTTACAATCAACCCTGAGGTTGCTAGCTTTACAATCAACCCTGAGGTTGCTAGCTTTACAATCAACCCTGAGGTTGCTAGCTTTACACTCAACCCTGAGATTGCTAGCCTCACCATCAACCCTGAGGTTGCTAGCCGTACGCTCAACCCTAATTTCTTTCTCCAAGCTCCAGCCGTTTAGATGAAGCTGTAGACTGATCTACGCTAAGTTTGATAGATTCATAGTGTAACTGAAAGTATTTAAAATCGGAAATAAAATTTTGCGTTTTTGGCGTTTATCAAATTGCTATTTTCATTTATTCATTTTCACTTGCAAAAACTGAAAAGAAAATATACGCTTTATTTGTAATAAAGCATAAACAGATTTTTATCTAAATTATATATTTTCGAGCAATTATCCATTCAGGGCCTTCGGCGTTAGGATAAAATTTTTCTCGAAAACGTTCGTTAACCGGATATGGAAAACATCATGTGACCTTTTAAACTTTCCAATGTGAAAAAAAATGTAATATCGATACTCTGTATTTTAACATGACGTCATAAAAACATACATCAAACGTCAAAACGAAAACTTACATCCACTGGGAATACACGTTACAGCCACCACACAGATGTAAGTCAGAAGTCGCATCATGACGTCACTAATGGTTGATCTCTCTGGAGAAATGACGCAGGCTTTTAGTTCGTCTGCTGCACTGTGTCAGAGATGTTTTTTACACTGTGTCTGGGAGTAAGATTTCAAGCTCAGACTAGCCGCGCAGTTGGGGTTTTTTTCCCTGTCAGAAAATATCAACTTGTCTTTATGGGGAGCAATGTCAAGGCTACTAGAAGATATAAACAAATAAAATGAAGCGTGTGCGGGTGTTTATATCAAAAGATATCATTTATCAAATTCTTACATTCATATTTTTATTAAATAACATATTTTGTTTAAATGTTGTAAAAAATAGTTTAAAATATTTACCATTACAGCACGGGTTATCTAAACGTAGGATTTTAGGAAAATAAATTGTTGCGCTAATTTGAATATAACTTATGTATAGCGCTAGATGGGGGTATAATATATCGAGAATCAGAGGCGTAGCGAGGGGGGGGGGGGGGCGGGGGGGGACATATGTCCCCGGGCGCCGACCTTAGGGGGGGGGTGGCGCCTAATTGAAAGTTTGAGGGGGAGGGTGCAAATGAAAAGTTCGAGGGAGGGGGTGAAAATCGTAAGTTTGTCCACGGGTGCCGGGAAGGGTCGCTACGCCTCTGTCGAGAATGTAATTATCTTTAAACCAACCATTCCAGAATAAACCTAACTAAAAACCTCATAAATGTAATTATCTTTAAACCAACCATTCCAGAATAAACCTAACTAAAAACCTCATAAATGTAATTATCTTTAAACCAACCATTCCAGAATAAACCTAACTAAAAACCTCATAAATGTAATTATCTTTAAACCAACCATTGTATAATAAACCTAACTAAAAACCTCATAAATGTAATTATCTTTAAACCAACCATTCCAGAATAAACCTAACTAAAAACCTCATAAATGTAATTATCTTTAAACCAACCATTCCATAATAAACCTAACTAAAAACCTCATAAATGTAATTATCTTTAAACCTACCATTCCAGAATAAACCTAACTAAAAACCGAATAAATCAGACATGTGTCAGGAAGAAGCGCTTAGAAAAAATACTTTAAAAAAACTTTTTTTAAAAACCACGTATTTCATGTGTAGCATCGGACTAAAAAGGAGAAAATAAAATACTTAATAAAAACTTTTTAAAAAACCACGTTTTTCTTGTGGACTAAAAAGTAGAAAATAAATTTTTCTTCCGACCCTAGGGGATCTACCAATGACTGCTCGTAGATTTTGTTCATACATTTGATGACAAAAAACGTGGGTACGTTCACCATCAAATTTCCCGACCCATCTGCCCGACCCACGTTTTTTGTTTCTTGTATTTATTTGGATGCTCGCTCTCTTTTTTTTTCTGTGACTTTATTTCTGTGACTTTTCCGATAAAATATTTCAATAGTGACATTTTTTCTGAGACTTTTTTTCCTAGCAAAAACTGACTTTTTTTCTGTTTTTTTTTTTCGTGTCTTTTTTCCCGCTCACCTAAAAGTTACCCGCAAAAAATATTCTTCACCAAACCCTCCCCAACACCTTGCCCAGGTAACGCCGCTAATTTTGATTGCCACAAACCAACAAAAGAATGACGTCACCCGAACAGAGACATTCTACAGGGCGATTGTGGACACCATCAACCATCAACTTTTCTTGATGTCCACTTTACGTGTCCTTGACCTACCTGGTGTCGGCAGGAACCCGGAGTTTAAAAATGTACGGCTAGAATTTAGCTGTGAACCCGGCAGAAGAAGGTCTTGTCATTCTTTCTCCTGCGGTAGGTCATGTTGGGTCACGTGGTAGGTCATGTTAGGTCACATGGTAGGTTATATTAGGTCAAGTAGTAGGTCATAACACTTCACGTGGTAGGTCATGTTAGGTCATATTGGTGTCAGTGTGTGTGGCAGTGTGTGTGTCAGTGCGTGTGTCCGTGTGTGCGTCAGTGTGTGACTCACTCAATTCACACTACTAAAATGTATTTAATTTACACTACTAAAACTCACTAGATTTTTAAAAAAACTAAAATTCACTCAATGAAAAAAGCAAAAACTCACTCAATTCACAAAATTAACACTCAATTAACTCACACGATTCACAAAACTGAAATTCACTCAATTCACAAAACAAAAAACTCAATTCACTCAACTAAAACTTACTCGTCGCACACAACAAAATTTCTCTCAGTTCACTCAACTAAAAATCACTCAATTCACACAACTAAAACTCACTCAATTCTTACAACAGAAACTCAATTAATTCAAACTACTAAAACTCATGTAACATTAATAGTTTTCCCCGGGTACCGCAATGGGTGATACGCCTCTGCTCTACTGTGTGATGGACTGTGAGAGGGACTGTGTGGGGAGATGGACTGAGAGAGGGACTGTGTGAGGGACTGTGTGAGGGACTGTGTGAGGGTTATTTCTTTGAGTTTGGAAGTAGAAACGTAAAATTATTCAACACAAGTCGACACACAGAAAAGCTGCATCAAACGTTTTAATCACTGTAAAAAAAAATTTTTAAATTAGAAAAAAAAAAGAGAACTTGCTTTCTTTTTACTTTTTTATTTTTAGCGTTCAGTAGATGAATCAAGTTGAGCCAAATATTCTACGTGCTCATTCTAGATTTGATGGTCATTAATGTGCATGAACTTTTTTTATTGTAGCCTGCACGGCCGCCCCGTAGGCCACGGCCTCGTCCGGGTTGATGGACTTGTTGAGCTCCTTGTCGTTGAAGAAATCCGAGAGAAGTTTCTGCACCTTGGGGATCCTGGTGGAGCCTCCCACCAGCACCACCTCGTGGATCTTGCTTTTGTCCAGCTTGGCGTCTTTTAGGGCCGTCTCCACCGGCTGGATCGTTGATCGGAATAGATCGATACACAGCTCTTCGAATCTGGCTCGCGATATTTTTGTGTAGAAGTCGATTCCTTCAAAGAGAGAATCGACTTCGATGGAGGCTTCAGTGCTGCTGGACAGAGTTCTTTTGGCGCGCTCGCAGGATGTCCGCAGACGGCGGATAGCTCTGGCGCTGCCGCTCATGTCCTTGTTGTGCTTCCTCTTAAACTCCTGCACAAAATGGCTGACCAGACGGCTGTCAAAGTCCTCCCCTCCCAGGTGGGTGTCGCCAGATGTCGCTTTCACCTCAAACAACGAGCCCTCGTCGATGGTTAAAATGCTGACATCAAAAGTGCCGCCACCCAGGTCGAAGATTAAGACATTTCTCTCTCCTTTCATGCCCTTGTCGAGCCCATACGCCAGCGCTGCGGCGGTTGGTTCGTTGATGATCCTCAGCACGTTCAGACCGGCAATGGCGCCAGCGTCCTTGGTCGCCTGCCTCTGTGAGTCGTTGAAATAGGCCGGCACCGTGATGACGGCATCCGACACTCGCTGCCCCAGGAACGCCTCGGCCGTCTCCCTCATCTTGGTCAGCACCATCGAGCTGATCTCCTCCGGAGCGAAGAGCTTCCTCTCACCTTTGTATTCCGCTTCAATCTTCGGCCGACCTTCAGACTCCACGACCTTGAAAGGCCAAAGTTTCATGTCACCCTGCACCGTTTTATCCTTGAACTTGCGGCCGATGAGACGTTTGGCGTCGTAGATGGTGTTGGTGGGGTTCATGGCCACCTGGTTCTTGGCGGCGTCCCCCACCAGACGCTCCGTGTCGGTGAAGGCCACGTAGCTGGGCGTGGTCCTGTTGCCCTGGTCGTTGGCGATGATCTCCACCTTGCCGTGTTGGAACACCCCCACACACGAGTAGGTCGTCCCCAGGTCGATCCCAATGGCTGGCGCTTGCTTTGGCATCTGAAATCATCCAATTGGTCAGATACTTTAACGGGGAGTTTAGACCAAATTGGTCAGATACTTTAACGGGGAGTTTAGACCAAATTGGTCAGACACTTTAACAGGGAGTTTAGACCAAATTGGTCAGACACTTTAACCGGAGTTTAGACCAGTTTTGTGAGACACTTTAACCGGAGTTTAGACCAAATTGGTCAGACACGTTAACCGGAGTTTAGACCAGTTTTGTGAGACACTTTAACCGGAGTTTAGACCAAATTGGTCAGACACTTTAACCGGGTGTTTAGAAATTGGTCAGACACTTTAACGGGGAGTTTAGACCAAATTGGTGAGACACTTTAACCGGGTGTTTAGAAATTGGTCAGACACTTTTACCGGGGAGTTTTAACCAAACTGGTGAGACACTTTAACCGGAGCTTAGACCAATTTGGTCAGATAAATTAACGGGAGATTTGATCGGGTCTGCAGCCAATCATATTATTGCACCCCAAGAACGATAGTTTTAGTCACAAATCTTTGGTAAATTTAAAACAGAGTCAAACGTTTAATGTAGTCGCTTATAAAAAAAAATAATTCAGAAAATATATACTTTAATAACCCCCACCCCCCACCCCCACCCCCGGGGAAATATGTTTAAAACAAAACCTGATTTAATGTATAATCGCTTCTACGGGAAACCTCTCTGCTGTTAATATAAGCTCTTGTAATCTAACATGGGGAAGAAAGGACTCGAATACAAGAAGAACTAATTAAGACACATCAAATCAAACATTCTTCCCTTTCAAACATCTATATCTATAGCAGTCCTCCCACCGTTTTTTACATTTTTGAAATTTATTTTAACCCTTAAATGAATGATTTTTAACAAATACTTGAAAAAATGTATTACAATCGTTTTGATTGATATATGCATAATATTGTGAAGAAAAATTTAGATTGAACATGTACTTTAATTTTTAAAAATGGTTGCATATGGTGTAACATAATATTTGGAGGAGGTGTAATATGGTGGTAGGGTGGTGTGAAACATAGTTCTAGATCTTTAATAACAGATGTAGGTGTAGAATAACATAGATGTAGACGTAAAATAACATAGATTATGTAGATGTAGAATAACATAGATGTAGATGTAGAATAACAAATGTAGATCTAGAAAAACATAGATGTAGACGTATATATATATACATACCCAGTCAATATCGAAATTATCCCCTAAATAGCCAGGGTGGCTGATAGTTAGGATGGGGTCGAGGAAATAGCCAAAGCCGCACATTGTGGCAAACAACGCCTAGTCTGAAAATTAATTGTTACTTAATAAAAAGTAATTTTACCAAGCTTAAGGTTTCGAAAAAGTGTACGTTTTCAAAATTTCTTCATGATTTAAATTTGTTTATTTTTCGTTCACTTATCAAAATGTTTTAAATAAGCAGAAAGTAAAAAATAATTACTCACTTTGCAGTAGGTTTCCGAAAAAGGAACACAGCGATTGTCTTAATCAATTCTAGAAAAAAAAATTACCTAGTATTAGGATATAGCAATGACAAATGATCAAAAGACAAGTAATCTCAAACACAATACATTAGACAAAATAACTCAATGACAAAATAACTCAATGACAAAATATCTCAGGATAAAATACATTAGACAAAATAACTCAATGACAAAATAACTCAATGACAAAATATCTCAGGATAAAATACATTAGACAAAATAACTCAATGACAAAATAACTCAATGACAAAATATCTCAGGATAAAATACATTAGACAAAATAACTCAATGACAAAATAGCTCAATGACAAAATATCTCAGGATAAAATACATTAGACAAAATAACTCAATGACAAAATAACTCAATGACAAAATATCTCAGGATAAAATACATTAGACAAAATAACTCAATGACAAAATATCTCAATGGCAAAATAACTCAATGACAAAATATCTCAGGATAAAATACATTAGGATAAATTATATCATCGACCAAATATACCAAAAAATTTTCTCATACAAGGTAACCTACGGCACAATAATTATCGTATTTAAAATGGTTTTAATCAATGCGATTATCTTTTAGTAATTGTATTACTTCTTTTTACTTTCTCGTATATACGAAGTATAGAGAAAGTCTTGTAATCGTGCAAAAAAAAATCGAGATTTTTGCACATCTCGACGTTTTACACCTCCCTGGGTCGGAAAAACATAGTTTTGCAATCTTGTCCGTATGTCTGTGTGTGTGTATATGTGTGTGTGTCTGTAAACACGATAACTTGAGTACCGTTACAGCGAGTTTGACGCAATTTCATATATAAGTATTATATTAAAATCGTAGATCCTTATCAACTTTTGAGCGATTTCCGATAACGGGAAGTGGGACTTTTTCTATTTTAATTTTTTTTAAAAACCCACAACTTGAGTACTATTTCAGATAGATAAATGAAATTTCACTTGTAAGTAAAATATTTAATTCTCAAAGTTTGTCCCGGGGGGGGGGGGGAGGTCAGGGTTATAATAGGGTTAGGGTTATTATAATTATAATTAGTATACGTAGACAAAACCGAAATTATTATTATATTCTTGATGATTATTTGTAGAATACGGGATAGTACAGAATAATAGTTCTAACAATCCAAAAAACTTGCATTTTACATTGTAAAATCACAACGCTATGGACTGATTTTTTTTTTCAAAAGAATTTTTCCGAAAACAGCGTGTGTTCACAGTGGTTTAAAAAGAAAGGGAAAAAGAATATACAAGAGCGTGGGATGGTGACTATAGAATAAAGACAACCAAACCGCAGCTACAGTAATCTTTTTACAAAAAAACCATCAAGTCAGAAATGCAAGAAAATTAAATATGTTTAACTATAAAAAATTCAATTATGGTCGGCTGTGGGCCCCTAAATGGCGAGCCCCCCACCCCCGCATTGCGGGGTCTGGCGGCACTGTAGTTCCGCCACTGTTACCAGGCCGATACCTAGATCGTAGGTTTCTATTTATGTTTCTGGAAAAAAAAACATATTGAATGCTAAACTTGGTTTAATTATTTATACTTAGGTCTACTAATTGTTGCAGGTGCCAATATAGCTAATTAAAACAGTTCTGTACTAAGCGAATTAAAACACAATTTCTTCTCTTAATAATTATTAAATGTAAGTATCCTGACGAATGACTACGGTATAAAAAGTAATTATATATATATATATATATATATATATATATATATATATATATATATATATATATATATATATATATATATATTGTGACCTACTGAGGTCGAGTCATTTTTATTTTGACATTGTATAATTCCTTATATGGAATGATTGTGTAACACCTGGGGTTTTTCCACTGACTTATTAAGGTGTTTGAGACATAGAAAATTTCCATTAAAATCTGATTGAATGATTCTGATCAGATGATTATCCCAACCAATGGCGACATGAGTTGAGGATAACCTCCCCTGTCACAGAAGTCTTTAATTGCCCCGCACACTCGCAACACGAGGCAGTTTTTCTTGACCTAAAAGTCTACGAGGCCGTTTTACCTTAGTCAGGCAGCCGTCCATATTGTCCGGCTATAGACTCTGACCATTTGAACGTGAGAGTACTTAAGACCTGTGTGTGCCTTGCTTTCTTCAGTTGATTTAGTCTTCTAGTTTAATATTACTTGTCGCTAAGTAAGTCTTGAAGCTACAGCAGTGTTGTGTGGCCAGTAGCTGTTCTTTAGACAGTGTAGAAATCTGTGATAGTGTTTTTTCCTACATTGTGTAAGTTGGGTTTTTGATATTTTATACATTAAATATTTTATCTAGTTCATCTTTGTGTTTTGCCACATCTGAGTTCGCTGATTAAATGGTCGTATGTAGATTGGATGAGTGTTAATTACAATAGTATCACTAGCTCCCCTAGACATTAATTTCGAGCCCTAGTGGTCGTTGTGTTAAGTGTTCATCCACTTAGGCCGTAAGGCATTTGCATATGACCCCGAAAAAAGAATCCGGGGACGTTCTCCTTCTATTTGGCTGATAGAAAGGTTAACGTTACAAAGTGGGGTCTCGCCGAGATTTAATCTGTCGTTCCAGTTGTTGGTTATATCAGTTAAGCCCTAAGTTTAGTTGGGTCTAGTTGTTTTTATATCTAGTGTAGCGCCGTGGTCTTACAACGCGCGCTCAGGCTAGAGTATCTAGGTCAAATAAGCAGACGTGTCACGTCCTACATTTAGAGGTCAAGTACACGGCCCAACGCTGTGTAGTAATTTAAAGAATCCAGGCTTGTTGTGATTTTCAAGTTAGGGTTATGGAGTCTTTTTTGGCTAATCCTACTTTTGAAGGTGTAGAAAAGTTGAGTAGAAAAGTGTTGATTAGTCTTGTTAAGGAATTGAAATTGGATTATTCTGTTACGCAGAAGTCAGAGGTGTTGAGAGATAAAATTATTGTTCATTTCATTAATGAAGGAGTATTTGATGAAAGTTTGTTGGCTGGTGTGTTGCTCCGCGAGGAGAAAACTCTAGAGAAGGTAGAATTAGAAGCTAGAATTGCTTTAGAGAAGGAGAAAGTTGCTTTAGAGAAGGCTTTAAAAGAAAAGGAGTTTGAAACTAAAAGTGCTCTAGAGAAACAGGAGTTAGAGGCTAAAATTGCTTTAGATAAGAGGAGGTTGGAATTAGAGTTTGGTCAAGTTAGTGATGTTACTTCTCTGGTAGATCCAAAAAAGTTGTCGGTAGGGCAAGTGATTACCAAATTTGGGAAATTAGTTCCTAAATTTGATGAAACAGATTTGGTCGTTTTCTTTAACTCGTTTGAGAGTTTAGCGAAGACATGTGAATGGCCCGAAACTTCCATTACTGCTTTATTGAGCTCTGTCCTTACTGGGAAAGCTGCAAAAACATACCAGGCACTCTCTCACGACGTTCAAAATAACTATAGTTTGGTCAAGACTGCCATTTTAAAGGCCTACGCACTGACGCCCGAGGCCTATCGGACAAAATTCCGAACACTCCGCAAGTTACCCACACAATCATATGTGGAATTTCTCTTTGAAAAGGAGAAAATATTCTCAAGGTGGCTACACTCTGAGGAAGTTTCTGAGTTTGAGAAACTCAGGTCACTTATCCTAAGGGAAGAATTCCTATCGTCCCTGCCTGAAGAGATACGACTACACATACTGGATAACAAGATAACTGACATCCAGAAGGCTGCTGAGTCGGCTGACACATATATGTTGGTGCATAAGAAACCACCAGTGTCAGGAAACCGCCTCAACCCCGTGCTTCCCCTTTTTGGCAGCAATCATCCTGTTGGCCAACATTTGAAGGCATCACAGTCCAGAGAGAAACCAAGATCAACTCTCAATCGTCGAGCAGTATGCCAGTTCTGCAAAAGGTCTGGGCATCTTGTCAAGGACTGTTACAAACGTCGCCAATATAACAGAGAGGTGGTGCGTACTTCCGCGCACTATGCTCTATCCCCTCAAGCAGCCAGTTCAACTATGAACTCTAGAATTCTAAAGGACTCTAATCCTAAGTGTCCGCAAGAAGGTAGTCAAGTCTCCACACATTATGTGCAGTCACATTTTGACTGTTCTCGCCACCATCCAGTTTCTTCCGAGTCTACCGATCTCGAGGGATCGAGAAAAGTTGACTTTTCATCTTTTATTGCCGAAGCCATCATTAGCAAACCAGGTGATCCGTTGTCTCAGCGGAATATCACCGTCCTAAGAGACACAGGAGCGTCACAATCACTCCTTTTGAAAAGTTCAATGGACATTACACCAGAGACGAACACCGGAAGGATTTCCATTATCCAGGGAGTGGGGACAAAATCTACTGTCGTCCCTCTACACAAGTTTGCCCTGAAACATCATCTCGTCGAAGGTGAGGTCATTTTAGGTGTGATAGATAGTATTCCTGTCCCAGGAGTACACCTACTTCTAGGGAATGACCTTGCGGGAAGCAAAGTATACCCCTGTACGGTTTCAGACCCTTTGTCAACAGTTCCAGATAATGATTATGAACTGTATCCTGCATGTGCGGTGACAAGAAGCCAGACCAAACAATTGGCTGACATCACGTCTGAACCACACCCGCCATCATCGTCAAGAAATTCGACTCTCAAACTGGAGTCTATGCTTCCAGAGAACACAAGCCTGGGCTTACCCCTGAGAATATCTCAGGAAGACATCATTAAAGCTCAACAAGTCGACGCGGAACTCAAAGCAACGGTCGAAAAATCTCTATCATCTGACGATGGAGAATATTTCGCCGAGAACGGCCTTTTCTTTCGTCGCGCTATACCAGTGATTGCCTCACCGGCCGAACCATGGTTGGGTAAAAACCAGCTGTGGATCCCTCCACCTTATCGGCATGAAATACTTAAGCTGGCACATGACCATCCAATGTCAGCGCACCCAGGTGTCACTAAAACGACGGCGAAGATCAAAGAACTGTTCTTTTGGCCCAAAATGAGAAAAGATGTGTCGCGTTACTGTAGAAGTTGCACGAACTG